GGTAGTCTTCTTGTACCTAACTTGTTTGTAGAACAACGCAAAAAGTACCAAGGTAACAGGTAATAATGTGGGTCATTTTTGGCAAATTCTTTTTCTTTTTAAGAAATGTAATTTGTTATGTAAAGAAAATACATTACAGTCAAGTTATTATCAAGTACAAAATGTCATATCCACCTTGTGTGGGTGTGAACCTGCAGGATAATAGAAATACGAGAAACTGATGGTATGAATGTCTGTGTAAAACGGGTTGCCTATCTTAGTATTAATTCATTTATGTTCATTAAGAAATAATAAAAAAGGAAGAATGTGTAGCATCCTGAAGTCAAAACAAGTAAGTTCCACAAGACCTTTGCAAGTCTTTTTTACCAGAGTAAGTCAATCAAAATGATGCTTGAAAAAAATGAGAAAGGCCTGATAGTCTTAAACAAAGGATCACTGAATCACGCATTAAAATCCAGATCATTCTCTTCCCCTCTATCATAAACACAGCCAGGGATACACAAGCACACAATAAATGAGGGTGCATCCACTGACAAGCCATGGTCTTATTATCAAGCTCATGTCATCTGCAATTGACTGCTTCCTACTGAGGAGAGAAAATTGGTTAATGTGTCCGGTCAATCTGGTTGTCATGAGCGCCAGCTTACATACTCATTTCCTGTGTCTTTCATTACCCCTGCAAAAAAAAATAAAGATTCCATTGTTGTCCTGGATTGCCAGATTGGGTGGTGGTGGTGGTGGTGGGGGGTTACAACAATGAAATTACACAGAACAGCTAAGTATAGTGTCCATATGGAAAGCACTGACTTCCAGTGGGTCAACAGATCAGTCCGTCTCCATTGGTGTCATGTTAAGTTTGGTCCTTTAGTTGCAAGGGGAAAATTCAAGAAGTAGTGAGCAAAGTCTCTTGCAAGTAATCAATTATTTAGCAGGTTTACTTGGATTGTTTTTTTTTTTACATTTTTGGAAATAAACAAAACCTGCTTTGAATCTTAAACTTTCAGCACATATATAATATCTGTTTATGTTGTAATCTAGCAAGATAAAAGCAAGTGGCTGTGGCATTATGAAATTAAACCACATTTCCTGGTTTTCAACCAGTAAGTACCTTCTGCTTCTCCACTTTCTCTGAGTTCAGCTATCCTCATTTGCTCTGGTTCATAAACAAGTAGCCTGAGACCTCTGATGTTTATTGTGAAATCTTTTGCTTTTGCTCTTATTTAAACATTATGATTTATTAATGTACAAGGATGCAAACACAGCTTTATGCATTGCTTTACACAGCCGCTTCTGATTCAAAGCACTGTGATGCATCTATATGGAAACAAGCATCGCTTTTCAACAGTGCCAAAATAACACTAGAGATTGTTGCAAATAAAAAAATACAGAATAATCCAAACTTATATGTTCTGGGTAAAGAGATAAAACAATTTGCAGCTTTTTCCCCAGAGCAACACTTTGGTTTGACTGCACTTCCTCCCAGTTGTATCTATCATATCAGCTTTTGGTAGTATGAAGAGACATAAAAGGGCTTATTAATAATTTAAAATTTCACTGTGGTGTGTTATGTACAGTAAGGGTAAGTTTGTTTGAAGAAATACAAAAATAAACCCAAGGCAGGATAATATTTCTTTATGTACTGGTGAGCTTAAATAAAACACATCTGTTTACTGATCTCACTTAGCAGCCATCCAAAGGGACAAATAAACATACACTTCAGGAGGCATTTTGAATTGTTTCTCATCATTTGCCAAAGCAGCCTACATTTATTGTTGGTATGCTGCAAAACCTAAAAGATGCTTTAAACATATAGATGTTTAGTAAACTTACTCTGTGGAGAGCTGAAGACCAAAGCCATTATTGAAAAATGAAAGAACGCTTCTTTATTGGTTGGCTCAATGCTACTGAAGTGTGGGAGCAATTTCAATACAATATACTAAGGCTTGGATAAGACTTTTTGGTGGAATCCTTAAAAACAGACCTGCATGTGCATCTTTGTGTTTGAGTGAGTGTGTGTCAGTGCGCGTGTGGAGGAAGGGTGTTTCAAGGTTCGGACAAACGCAAGATTGTCACGCTCATGAAGGAGAGGGGCTCTGTCACGGAGCCTGCCAGCTAAAGGCTTAAATCACATGCCTGGAATACACAATGATGCTACACCCACACAAAAACACACACAATCTCCCTAAATTATGCAGAGTAAGACCATCCCTCGAAGCATGCATTCTCAACATCTGCTCCAGTTAAAATGTTGGCATGCATATTCTAAGCCTAAACAGATCAAAAGAGTGAAATC